ACCCCCCCCCAAAAAAAAAACAAAACTGCCATCAAGTCGGATCTGACTCATAATGACCCCTCCTGGTATTTCTGAGGCAGTTTCACTACAAAAGTAGATTGCCCAATCTTCCTTCCTTGGAGCAGCAGGTGGGTTCAAACTGCTAGCCTTCTGGTTAGAAGTCAAATGCCTTAGGCAATACACCACCAGAGCTAACCCAAGCCATGGTATTTTCATCACCTTATATGCATATGAAAACTGGACAATGAATAAGGAAGACCAAAGAAGGGTTGATGCTTTTGAGTTGTGGTGTTGGTGAAGAATACTGAAAGTACAATGGACTGCCAGCAGAACTAACAAATCTGTCCTGGAAGAAGTGCAGCCAGGATGCTCCTTGGAAATGAGAATGGCCAGACTTTGTCTGACATACTTTGGTCACGTTATCAGAAGGGACAATTCCCTGGAGAAGGATATCATGCTTGGTAAAGTGGAGGGCCAACAAAAAGGGAAAGGCCCTCAACAAGGTGGACTGACAAAGTGAAAGTGATTGCAACAGTGGGCTCAGGTATAACACAGATTGTGAGGCTGGCACAGGGACAGTGTTTCGTTCTGGTATATAGAGGGTTACCATGAGTTGGAGCCGACTCGACAGCACCTAACAACAACAGCAACAACATTCTCTTAGTGCATCTCTTAGTTCTCTGAAGATTTTATTTCAGGCTCAAATACTGCCTCTTCTTCCTTTGTCTTTAAATGGGGGTTCCCTCCAAATTACATTCTTCATTGTATTATAGTTTCACTTTTAGTTCTTTTAGTTCACTTTTGGTTCTTCTTGGAGGAACAATATTTTCTCAAACAAAATGTTACAGAAAAGTGCAAATATGAAAAGAACCAAAAGCAGAGTTGTACTAGTGAAGGAGGTAACTCCATAAACTTTGATATAAATACAAATTCTAGAATTCCTTGGGGGAAAAAAAAAAAAACTGGAACCCAAATGAAAACCAGTAATTTTAGTCCTCATGCCTTCACTTATCACTTCTATGTTGATGTCACCCAAATCAGGGTTGTTTATTCATTCTTCTTTCTAAAATTCCAATTTCATATGTTCAACTGCAAACTGGGAATCTTTTCCTAAACATCCTGAAAACAGTTGTCTTTCCGAAGCACAAATCAGATCATGACTTTTTTGTTGTTTGTTCATTTATACATGTTTTGGTTAGCAAGTGCAACTCTGACAGAAATATATCACAAATGGGATGGCTTTAATAAGCAAGAGTTTATTCTCTCACAGTTTGGAGACATTAAGTCCAAGTTCAAAGTGTCAGGCTGAAGGAGCTGTGGGAAAGGCCCTCAACCTTGGGCTTCAGCTCTGCCTCTTGCTCCCGGCCCACTGAAGTTAGAGGCATCTCTTCACTCAGGCAGTTACTGGCTGCTGAGGCTGACAAGCCCAAGGTCAACAAATAAAATGGCAGAGTCCCAATGTTACCAAACCACACAGCAGGCCATTAATTCAAGTCCATTGTAAGTCCCAAGGTCGGCAGAGCACCAAGGTCGGCAGAGCATGGCAGGCTGCTGAAGAACCATATGGCTGCATGTAGTGTCCAAGTGTGCCATAAGCTAGAGACCATCCCCAAAAGCAGCTACTCAGCTGCTTGTGGTAGATCCGACCATGGAGTTGATTGACAATCTCATCATGGGGAATAGCTACACCAACTGCCCAGCCACTCAACCAGGCCCAGCCAAGTTGACATACAAATTTAACTACCACATACATTTCCATGGCCTTCAATGTACACAAGGAAGGCTAAACTCCTAAGCATAACATTGAAGAGCCTACAGACTGGCTATATCCCAACTACCTCATCATCTCTTACCATTTTCTTTACCTACTCTATTTCCTGTACAATTATTTGTGTTTCTACCTCTTTGTGCTTATTCATACTCCATATAGACTGGCTTCTTTGCACTCCTCTGTGTATTACAGTATGCTTATGTTTTAAGATTATGTTCAAAAATCACCTTACTGTAAAACTTTATTTCTTGTTTGCTGTCATCATGATTGTCTTCATTTAAGTTGTTGGGTTTTTTGTTTTTGTTTTTGTTTTGTTTTGTTTTTCCATTGAACTAGGAAATTCTGAATTATCTAGTCTGTTTTATATAAGCTTAAAACTTGACATAAATTCATTTTAAAGGCCTTTGAAATGAATTAGTTAAATTTTTATCTAACTTATGTTCACTTGAACAACTTATAAAGATTCTATTTGAGTCACCTGGTGATTTACTTCTCCAGGAGGTAGGACTCTACGATTGATGCAGAGCAGAACAGAAGATGCTGGCCAATATACCTGTGTTGTAAGGAATGCAGCTGGTGAAGAAAGAAAAATCTTTGGACTTTCAGTATTTGGTACTTTAATAATTTGCAGTATCTAGATAAGATTCTAACTGGCTCAAATCCGCTTTGGGAGCAGAGGTGAAATTTATTTAAGACTTAGTCTCATACTGATGTATTGTTTGGCTCCTGGACTTTCACACTTAGCAAGAATTCGATGTTGAAATGGTTTGGAGGCAATCAATCTGAATAAAATGTCTGAAAGGCCATGTCTTTTGTCATTTCACAGTTATTCAAAAGTATTCTAAGACATTGAATAACTTGAGTGGTTATTTGAGTTATCCTGGAGGAAATAAATGTCTAACAAACGTTAAAACTCAATGATTGGTTGACATTTTTATCCGAAATTTATGGTTTAATTATACTAAAATTTATTATAATTGGATTCATGGCATATAATTTTATGTATCTTAAAATTAGACTTGTCCTATTAATATTTTGACATTTTTTCTGGTAAACAAATGATGAACAAGAGTTTGGGGGTTTGGCTTTAAGATTAAAGCTTAATTAAAGAGTAAATAGTGACACCTATAAAATAAGAGCCCTGCTGTTGGAGTTATGACTTACTTTTTTGTTTGTTTGTTTGTTTGTTTTAGTACCACCTCACATTGTGGGTGCTAATACATTGGAAGATGTGAAAGTAAAGGAGAAACAGAACACTACATTGACTTGTGAAGTGACAGGTAAGGGGCTCAACTGTCATACTTCTGCTATCACCCCCACCAAGGGATTAGTCAATGCCTCCATTGTATCTTAATTAGTTGGAAAAAATCAAACAGCTGTAATAACCAAAACCCCCAACATGTTGTCATTGAGTCAGTTCTGACTCATAGTGATCCTGTAGGACAAAGCACTGCCCCATAGAGTTGCCACGGCTGTAATCTTTACAAAAGCAGGTGGCCACATCTTTCTCCTGTGGAGACGCTGGTAAGCTTGAACTCTGCAACCTGGGCTCCTAGCTACTGTAATCTTGTTCTTGGCTCATCCCAACCATGAATAATGCCACCAAGCACCTGACTATTTCTTTGAAATGAAATGTAAGAAAACAGGAAAAGGAAAGAAAGGCACAAACAGGGTAAGGGAAAAAGAGAAAATAAGAGGAGGTATAAGAAGAAATGATTAAAAGAGAGTAATTATAGTTATTATAACAGGCATTTGAAATTGAATTCTAATGTAACTAGTAGAAATATAAGTGAATAATGTCTACAATTCTATGGAGATAAAAAAGTAAATGCCCACCCTGTTCATTTCCTTCAACTCATATAATTACTTTTTTAATCTTTTCTGCTTATATGTAGATTTTTCCTAACTTATCTCCTCTTATTTTCTCCTTTTCCCTTATCTTTGCACCTTTCTTTCCTTTTCCTGTCAGCCCCAGGGTTACAGGGGAGGAGAGACAACTCAGGGACGCCC